CACGACATGACGACTTACTATGCCTGACTTCTCGTTAGAAACGAGGCCAGCACCAAAGAAAGTCCTAAAGGTGCTTACTGCAAGCCGCCACCTTAGCATCCCATGGAGAAGGAGAAACACAGAGAGAAAATAGTGGGCTGAGAGAAGACAGACCCTACACCCCTTGACAGAATTGCTTAGATTCATCTAGGCCTGAAGAAGGAAGTCAGGCGACTGGCTTTTCACAAGATTCGGGGTGTGCCTTTTGAAAGTCGAGGTGGTACGCTGTAAATCCCAGGTGTTAGGAGGAAGAGGCAGTAGAATCGGGCGTTCAAGGTCTTTCTCCCCTCAGCAGCAAGTCCAAGGCCAGCCTGGGCTGAATGAGACCCTGTCTCAAAATGAAACTATAAACAAAGAAACAAACACTCTGTGGCACCTTCCCTTTGGCATCTTTTTGGCCCTCATGAACAACAGAATTGTTGAAAAATCTTGATTAATTGGCATGCTTCGTGTTAACGTTTACTAATAGTATTGGAGGGGTTATCTGATCCTATGGCTGGAACCGGCAGCCTTCCTGCTTGCCAGCTTTGCTCTTAGAACAAGCAGATCTGCCACGGTGACAGATGGGGACCGGGTGCCGCTCCGATTTTTTAGAACTCATTAAGCCCATGCAGCAGCTGAAGGTCTGCGTAGGCGGAGCACTGCTCAGTTCCCCATGGCACACATGGTCCAGCGGAGCAGAAAGTACACAGAGAAAGCAAACCAGAGCGAGCTGGTTGGCGAGTTCCTCCCATCTGCATCCAGCTGAACACATGCCTACCACATACGCAAAATGCAATGCATATTTAGAAAAGAGACGACTGTGTAATTAGAAAATAATTGCCACTCTTTGGGGCATTCTGTTTAATCAGATCCTATTGAAACCTTTGCTATGGCGAAGCCCGTTCGAAGCATGTCTGGGGAGGCACAGGTACAATAGACAACAGGCAATACAAGCCAGTTGTCTCTGTGGCCAGTTCTGGGCCTCCCCAGGATAGGGTGCCCACTGGCAAGGAGTCTTCACTTCCCAGCCATTCTCATTAGTGAGGAGCCTGCTGTCGGAAATACGGGCCTGTTTCCATAACGCTTTATTCGTGTGATCTGCCCATCACAGAACTCCATGGCTGAGTCTTTTAGGATGCTAAGTCATATCTGTTTGTGATCACTGTCAGGTGTCAAAAGCTGCTCTGGGCTGTCTGGACCTTCCTCGTTTGTTGGCTGAATGGAGCATTTGTTGTATTTATAGACCTTCTGAGGTTGCACTGTGGGAGAATCAACAGCAACTGGCTTGTTGTAAACTGAACAAAAGCCACAGAGATAGGGTTGGGTATTGTAAGACCCTGGAGCCATGCCTTGGTGCATGTAAGAAAGTTGGTTTCATGCCTGTCCCGTTGTTTGGCTGTGTAGGGAAAATAGCACATAATAGAAGATTGGGTGACCATGTAGTCATGCCAGGCCATCCCCCAGAGCTTTGGCTGGGACAAACCTCACTGTGGTGCCCCTTCTGTCTCTGGGTCGCCAAATATTTGCGAAGTGGTAAAAATCACACTATAATAAATAATACAGGCACTTTGAAAACAACAACCTAAGCATCCATGAAAGGAGCCAGGGATAGTTCCACCAAGAAAGTCTCTAGCTCTCCCCTCAAATCAAGATTTTGATGCTAGACAGACAGAAGGCGTCTGATGACTTTGGCTTCTTGTGTCAAGCCTTTCTATGCTGTTTTAAACACATATTTTGATACTATTTTTATAATTACAAGTTTTTACCCAAGAAAGAGTGATGGTCTGTCAAGAGGGTTCTGGCTGCACCCACATATACACACACACAGATGAGAAATGATAGATATGATTGCTGGGTAAAATAAATAGGATATATATGTATAGATGAATGATAGATTATAGACACAGTAATCTATAATAATCTAGATAAGTTGTAGATGACCAATTTAGATGGGTGATAGACATTACATGTGGTAGATAATAGCTGATAGATAGATAGATAGATAGATAGAGATGATAGATAGAGATGATAGATAGATAGATAGATAGATAGAGATGATAGATAGATAGATAGATAGATAGATAGATAGATAGATAGATAGATAGATAGATAGACCCAATCAAAATATGCCCTATGCCCCTTTGTTACTGTGGAACTTTCTAAAATGTCACTGTTTGACACACATCTCTAAAATGTCTGTGAATAAGTCAGGCCACAGTCTCTCTCATAGGAGAAAAAAAAAAGAGATGATTTTAACATCGGAAAGTCAGGGGAGCCACCTCAGAAGAAAGACTAGAATTGCACGCTGCTTTTAAAAAGACAAGATATCGACAGACAAATGTTTTCTTCTTCAAATCCTTTCTTTAAAAAACAAAATCTCAGCTATGTTCCAATTTTCATCAAATAGCTCATGCATAAGAGAAAAGGGTTTTGCTTCCCATTGGTTTGATGGACCCCAAGGTCTTGTTCTGGTCCCTCTCCCACTGAGCTATAATCCCAGCCCTAATTACTCTTTCTCTGTGAGCCAGGGACTCACCAAGTTATCCATGCTGACCTTGAACGTTCCCTCCTCTTGCTAGGATGAGTCTCTGCCACCAGGCCCAGCGGAGAACAGTGTTTTAAAGCTAAAGAAGCCAGGAGTCTTCTACAGAAAGGCAGTTGTCTGAGAAGACTGAAGCTACGTCCGCCACAGCTTCTGCCTTCCCAGAATATCACGGGGAAGGAGGTGTGGCCTAGAGGAGACCCGTGAGGGCGAAGGGTGTGCAGGATCCCTGTAGCGGTTGCACCCTACCTAACTAGCACCCCAGGGAGACCACATTTAGAAAGGGACGGCACCTCAGTTGTACGAGGAGGAAACACAGATGCAAATGTTGAGTGTTACAGTAAACCTGTTAGGAAACTTCTAAATTACAAAATCTTGGAGGAATGCGGAAAAGGCACAGATCCTAACGGCCAAGTGGCTTTGATGACCTGCACACCTTACCCTGTTGGCTTAAATGTGAATTTATTGAAACAGAACACTGTGCCAAGCTGTGTGAATTGTGCTTAGAGATGGCCTCACACTTGGGAAGCCACCTCCAGCAGCAACAATAGCTAGCTAGCATAGGTGACATCCGACATTCATGATTTCAGAAACGTCCAGAAATCCTGAGGTGAGAAGACAAGGTGGGAAAGATTTTGTCAGTGGACAGTTGCCAGGCAGCATGGCACGCTTGACAACAAACCACGTGCAACACGCGAGGAGACACACGACGTGAGATGGGTAGAGACACCAGCTGTGTACGTAAAAAGCGGACTGTCTTTGAGGCTGACAACAGAACTGACGAGTCTCCATGCAAGGCTAGAGATCCATTCCAAAGTCAGTTTGGCAGACAGCAAATGGGGAGACCCGGGACACGCTCTGCAGGCTGCAGGTTCTTGTACCTTGTGTGTCTGCAGGTGTCCACTTGCAAGCCCGTGTGCTGTCGGCTGGTGGTCACTGGTTCCTAAGGGATGAGAGACGCGAGCTAGGCTTTCTTTTCTGTGGGCGTCCCAGGCTCCGGCGTCTTCATGGATGCCGGGTTTGTCTGCACTCTGCCTTTCCCGATGCTTGCTTTCTTGGGCTTCTGGCTGGTGCTTTGGAGGGATTTCAGCCCCAGCATCTTACAGTACTTGTTACACTGGTGCAGTGCTTTGAACTGATCGATGAAGGTCATAGAGCAGTTGCCCTTGAATCCCTTGTACCTGTACATGGGTGTGAAAAAGAAACCACTTAAAGAGAAGACAGTTTACCTGTTTCAAAAGACATATCTGAAAGAGAAATTAATGGTGCGTAGAAAATATATTTGTTCCTATTCCCGTTAAGAATAACAACATGGCTGACTATTAAAAGAAAAAGGGGGGGGCACTGAGGAGATGGCTCAGAGGTTAAGAGCACTGGCTGCTCTTCCAGAGGACCTGGGTTCAATTCCTAGCAACCACATGGTGGCTCACAACTGTCTAAAGCCGTGTGTGGCAGCACACATCTGTAACTCCAGTGCTGGGAGGGGGATGAAGTTAGATGGATCCCCAGAGCTTGCTGCTCAGTCAGTCTGCCCAATCAGCGAGAGACCCTGTCTTAAAATATGAGGTGGAGAGCAATAGAGGGGAACACCTGAGATCAACCTCTGGCTTCTGCCCACCTGCATATGGACACACACACACACACATAAACACATACACTGTATACACGTATATGCACACAAAAGAGAAGGAAAAAATATGATCTCAGGTTGGGCGGTGGTGGTGCATGCCTTTAATCCCAGCAGTCAGAAAGCAGACACAGGAGGATCTCAGTAAGTTCAAGGCCAGCCTGGTCTACAAAGTGAGTTCCAGGACAGTCAGGACTGTTACACAGAGAAACCCTGTCTCACAAACAAAACAAAACTATATATATATATATATATATATATATACACTCAGGACCTTGGGCTCTAGGCAGAATTTACAAGGAAGGCAGACTATTGATACTAACTTTGTAGCTGGCAAAATGATCCTGCAGTTCTTTTCTATCGAGTTGCCCCAAAACTCCAAGTCCTGTGCGCTAGCTCCAGTTTCCAATTCCATTCCTTGCAAGTATTGCTGACCCAAAAAGGATGTATTTAGCATCCATCAACTCCCCCATAACTGGCATTCCCTGAGACGTTCCAATGGTCCTCCTCCTCCCCACCTCATTTGATTGCTATTTGGATTTCCCAGTTAAATACTTGGAAGTTACTTGGATCTCCACAGCTAAAGGCTTGGAGGCAACATCTGCCTTTGCAGTCCGGCTTGCATCCATTTGTTCCCTTCCCATCAATGCATTCTATACACTGTCACAAGAATGCCCTCTACAAAAGGTAAAGACACTGACTTGGAGAAGAAATGTTCTTCCAAGAGACTCATATTCTGAATGCTGAGTCCCCGGTCAGTGGTGCTATTTTGAGAAGTTCTGGAAACTTCAGAGGAAGTTGGGACCTAGCTGGAGGAACTAGGTCCCGGAGGTGGGTCCTTGCGTATGTCCCTCCCTGGCTCTTTCCCACCCATTCCTCTCTTTCTTGCCCACAGTGAGATGAAGACACTCTGCTCCCGCAACTCCTACCATGATGATGCTCTGGGCACGGGGCTGTGGGTTGGATGCTCAAAAACTGTGAGCCACACAACTTATTTTCTGATCTTCCTTAGGTTGCTGTAGTCAGGTATTTCGTCAAATGGATAAGAAAAGTCATGAGTGTAGTAAGTTGGGTCACCTCCTGATTAAAGTGTCACTGATGTTAAGATGATAGCAAACTCCTCACCCTCCCCTAGTCCTGCCGCTGGTCGTGTCTCTAGCCCCCTGACCTGTCACCTTCAGGAAAGGTCATGCATGTACCTTCCAAGAGTTTGCTCAGGCGAATTCATCTAGATCAGTGGTTCCCAACCTGCGGGTGGTGACCTACCTGGGGTCACACATCAGATATTTACATTGTTATTCATAACAGCAATGAAATTACAGTTATTAAGAAGCAATGAAATAATCTTATGGTTGGAGTGGTTCACCACAACATGAGGAACTATCCTAAAGGGTCACAGCATTTAGAGAGTTGAGAACCACCGCTCTCTATATGGCATGCCCTGCTTCCCTTCTGTCTCTCAGCCCTGCTCACCGTCCATCCTCAGTTCCTCGACTTTCCCAGCCAAGCTACATCCTACATGCACACACACACACACACACACACACACACACACACACACACACACACACTGTGCCATCGTCAGCAGAGGACTTGGGGCCTCAGTAGGCCATAGACTCCACAACGATAGCACGAAGGTGAGCATCCTTCTCAAGCCTGGGTGCTTTTTTATGACTGGTCAATATTTTTCAGTGTTCTACTTTTGTGTTGCCCTGAATCATCACCGAGTCCTCACAAATAGACATGCAGGAGGAAGGACCAGCGAGTATCCAGCCAAGCACTGTGCTGGAGGCAACAGGTCCATCAGTGAACCCGCACAGCAACAGGCCCATGGACTTCCTGTCTAGAGAAGATAGGTGTCTAATCACCCCCAGTGACGCGGATGCTGGTGAAATACTCATTGCTGGCTTAGTGAGCCTGGATGCTGAGCCTTTGTAAGCATCTGCCCGTTGTCTCAGCTTTCAGATGGGAGGGAAAGGAAGGAGAGTAACCCTTTAGGGTGGGTGGAGGGTTGAAATGAGAAAATGCCTCTTACCCACGTGGCCACATAGTGGATGGCACATCATAAAGATTCAGTTCCTGGCCATGGATTGTTACAGCTACCGATCCTGGCACTGCTGTGACTGCCAGGGCCCTCCAGCAGGAGGAATGCTGCAGGGGAGGTTGGAGGGTCAGTGACAGACAAGCAGAGAAGTGGGAGGGTATGCCTGGAATATAGAGCTACTGACCTGATGATTTAGAGTCCAGTGCAAAACAAAAAGATGTTCAAAAAGTATTGAGGATGTTGAGACAGTAACAGCAGATGAAACTAGACACAGCACTTTCCTGAACGTGGGCCCAGGCACTGCACATCCACGGCTGGGCGTGAGTGTGAGGCTCTCTCTCATGAGTAAGGCCAAAGAGGAGCACAGCGCCGGCACAAGGCCGCTGCTGTAACTAACATGGTTCGTCATCAGCCCTGAACACACAGGCGGTCGAATGCTGCTGTTTTCCCTAGGTGATGCACACCAGCTTTCAGGGCTCTGAAAGCCTTCCCCACTCCCTGCAGCCTTGGTGTAGGCCTGCAGCTCCATCCTGACAGGTGTGCTATGGTCCAGTTGCCCCTCCTCCTCTCGGCTTCCAGGAGGCCATTTCCTTAGGAGCTGCAGCTGCTCTCCAAAGAACACATGCACTTTGCTGAAGAAAAAGCCAAGCAAACGCAGCAATTGAGTGCGGCAGAGCAGGGACTCCCACGGCTAAGCCCGTTAGCTTTCCATCTCTATCGTCCTCTGCAGAAGACTCCAGAAAATGTCAAATGCTAGTTTGTGTGTGTTTCCTGCCTGCCCAAGTATCCCCCACTGTGTGTGTGTGTGTGTGTGTGTGTGTGTGTGTGTGTGTGTGTGTGTTGGGGGAGACAACCCAGGACACTCATGTGCAGACATAGGAGAAACTAGAACTTAACTGCCTCTGGATAGGGTGTCACACACAGTTAGATGTGGTAAAGGCAGCCTTGCACAGTCTGGGACATGTTTCTCAGCACCCAAGTTCTGCAAGCTTGGGCTGTAGGACTCCATGGAACCTCCTGGACCCTTTCCTCAGCACGAGAATGGATCTTTCCCTTCTGTCTCTGTGTGTCCTGAGGAGCTGACCCACACTGTAGAATCAGGAGTGCATATCCACATCTCCCCATGGGTGCCATCTCTCCCCAGACACTGTTTTACATCCAAGGTCCCTGTCCAGAGCAGGCTTTTACTACGACTGTTCAAACAACAAGTAAACAGATCCCAGCCCTACCGGCAGGGCTCTTTGATCTCAGCCCAGATGGATTTCCACATCACATTTCTGATTTTCTCTCTCTCTGTTTGCTTTTATAACAAAATAAGCAACGCTACCCAGATGCAATTCGTAAAGAAAAGGACTTTATTTAGCTAGAGATTCCAAATGTGGCCTCGACATCCTGTGAGAGCTCTGGGCTATGCTGCAATATGGTACAGAAAAGGCCAGAAGGGGCCAAGTGTGCGCTGTGGCCTTGGGTTATGGCTCCTCATTCCATAAGACCAACATCGATCTTTTCCTGTTGCTTTCCCATGATCACCAGGCCCCACGGCTCAGCAGTTCTACAGTTCAATAAAGACCAAGCTTCAAGCCCACAGACCTCCAGGCGGCATGCTCCAACCAGAGCACACTTTGAAGTTGAACTCAGGCAATATTGAACCCTTCCACAGCTTTACCAGAGGTACACGCGTTTTTGTTTTGTTTTTTTAGGTTTTGCCACCTGGTGTCTACAGAATTCAGAATCTTTCTCTTCTCTAAATTTGGTCTCTGTCTCAACTTGGATGTTGGGCTTTGCCCTGTTGTTCTCTCCAACTGGCAACCATTATTGTGAAATGGTTTTTGCCTGGGAAGAAAAATATGGCAAGGTCCGTATGTTTCTAGACCAATTAACCACAGATGTATTCAGAGGACATAAGTCTGATTTCACCAAGCTGTCATCTACCCAAGCAATAGGAAACAGCTCTCAGTTTATGACCTGATATGCAAACCACATACACCATCTGCTGCCCTCGGGCTTGGTGGAAACTACCGATCTAGGCTTCGTGACATCCTTCCAATGTGAACCCAGATGCGGAAACCCATCGCTACTGTTCCCGTTATTTAGACATACAGATACCTAAAAGTTCTGTCCTTCCAAGAAGCTCAGAGGGTGATATTATTTGTAAATAGTGGCTACTGTAGATCTAACGACTTAGGATGAGATCCTATTGCAGTGGAGCAGGTCCTGGATTCCAGCATTACTGATATTTACATATGAAGCAGAGAGAAGCGAGAGGCACATGAGAAACCTATATGATGTCTCAGGCGGAGTTCTAGTGATGCTTCTACAAATAAAAAACCATCAAAGAGTACAGTCAAGCACTAGAAGGTAGGGGACAGGCATGAAACAGACTCCAGATGGAACTAGTCCTGCTGTGAGAGTTAATCTTGGTCGCCAACTTGGCGGCATCTAGAATCACCTAGGAGAAGGACCGCTGGGCAGGCAGGCATGTGGGGAGTCATTTTTAATTAATTGCAGTTGGAAGATTGCCCTCTATGGAAGGTACCATTCCCTGCGCTTGGCTCCTGAGTGTGCGTGAGAACAGGTGTTTCATCCCTCCTTCCTTCTGCTTCCTCGTCAGGATGGAACACACCCTTGCACCATGAGCCAAAATAAACCTTTGCTCCTTTAAGTGGCCTTTGTCAGAGTTCTGTGTCACGGCAACAGAAAGACAAAAACAAAAGCTAAGACACATCCTGGCACCTTTCAGGCTCTCAGCCTCCAGAGCTATGAAACCATAAACTCTTGCAATTTTAAACATATGCATTAGTGGCCTAAGCATCTAGCACAGTGGAATAAGAAACTTTGTATTAGAGACATATGTATCTGTGTGTGTGTGTGTGTGTGTGTGTGTGTGTGTTTAGAAACTTTAGCTGTGCTAAATTTTACTTATTGGATCTTTGCTTTTTAAACTCCAGTTATAATCACCTGGCCTTCCACACAAAACATACAAGATATTTCAACAGAGCCACTGTTTGTAAGACTTCTGGGCAGGGGCCAGAAGAACACCATGCCACTTCTCTACCTGGGGAGAAATGTGTTCTGTCGGGCTCTGCTCGGCCCTGGAGGTCCAAGTACATACACGGCCCACTGCTACAAAGGCTTCTTGCCAAAATGTAAGGTGACCACTTTTCCCTAGCAAACCTCCAAGCATCCTGGGTGGTGAGAGTCTCTCAAATGTGGTTTCCACATCAGGAATGCCTGACAATTCTGTGCCTCCTTACACCTGGTTGTTCTTCCTTCCAAAGGTAGACAGGCTCCTCCTGGCAGGCAGCCCATACAGAGAAGTGTCCTTGGTATCTACTCATAACCATCTCCTTTGGGCACAGCAAGTACCAACGGAAAGATCTGCTCAGAGTGCCCCCTCTTTGTTTCACTTCCAACTAACCATGTGACTAGAGCCTTTTTTTTAAACCCAGAGAGCAGAGAATAGCCTCTGTTGCCCTCTAGTGGCTAAATCATCACACACACACACACACACACACACACACACACACACTTTCTCCCGGGAAACTCCATTGCCTAGAGAGATGCTTACAGGGCTCCTGGTAACAGATCTGTCCCCCCTGCATGTCTTGGTTAAGTTTCCAAATCTCCAGTTGCCAGATTGAGAATCTTTTTTTGTCTCTCTCAGAGAACTCTAGGTGGCTGAGGAATTCAACTCAGAAATGTAATCCAAGAGCCAGTTAGGCTCTCCAGTCTATCTGGAGGGTAGGTGACACCTCCAGACATAATCATATGATAACCCAGGGGGACTGTGACAGGGCTGTTTTAAGAATCATGCCAAATGAAAGTTGCAATGAGCAGATCATAACGGTTCCTTATTTTATGAGATTATGAATAGATTATTTATTCACCAGATAACATCCCAATCATCATTTGAATATCTTTAAATTCATTACAGAACAAGACAGGTTGCATTTATTGGGATGTGAAAGAAATAAATGTGCAGGTTGAGACATAAGGACTATGTACATGTATGCATGCATGTGTATATAAATGCATGCATTGTATGGAGGACAGAACACAATCTCAGTGTTATTCTTCATGTGTCAATCACCTTCACCTCACCTTTTTTTTTTTTTTTTGCCTGGCCAAATGGAATAGAACTTCCTGTCTCTGCCCCCTCCCTCTGCTACTGGGATAAAAAGTGCAAGCCATCATGCCTGACTATGTATATACATATACATATATGTGTGCGTGTGTGTGTGTGTATGTGTGTGTGTGTGTGTGTGTGTGTGTGTGTGTGTGAATTCTTAGACTTGAGCCCAAGTCCTCATGCTTGCCAACACTCTACAGCCAAGCGCTGCCAGGGGACCAGCCTCACATAGAATTCGCAACTCTCTCTTTCCGTCTCCAAGCTTTTCATCAGTGAGCTTGTTCAGAATAGAGAAACTGTGTCTAATGGATCCTCATTCACCCAGCTCCTCCCTTGTACTCGGAAAGTCTGACATCCTCCTCTTTCTTTCCCCTGTTCCTTGGCACTCAGTGTGAACAGTTTCGTTCAATCTGCAGAGCATCTTCGAGTCTGAACCCTTTCCCAGTGGGCTACGATTGTTCTCGGTCCATTTGCAGATTTTGGCTTTGAGGGGAACATTTCTTTAAACAGGTCTTGCTTTCTCGCATGTGAGATAAACCCCTGTACATCAAGGGTGTTTAACCCATGCCCCCACCTGCACCCACCTCCTTCATGCAGAGGATGCTACTGGCCCTCCCCTTCCTTTCCCTCCCTAGATCACTGCTGGCTCTGCCTTGCTCCAGATGGAAGGGGAGCCTGGGAATCTAGGTGGTGGGTATGGTCATCAGAGTTCACTCGGAGAATAAGGATGTGTAAAGAAGCCCTAACACCCCTTATTCTCTGAGAGATTCCCCATTAACTGATTTTTCAAATCAGGCTTCTAAAATACAGTTCTTTTTAAGTGTGTGACTTTTCTTTAAACTTCTAAAGAAAACTTTAAAACCTGGACAAGCTGATCTAGAGTCCTTTCAAACACTGCAGAGTTCCCTTCCCACCTCTGCTTGGGTGGGAAAGCAGTCGTAAGCGCCACTTTGCAGGCAGCGTTCCACCCTTGGCTCCATCCATCCTCTCTTCTAATGGGCCTTGGGCAGCTGTCCCAGGCTGCAAAAGTAACATAAAAGCTGAGAACAAAACCAAGGGCTTAGATTTCTTTTTAAATTAGGAGGGGCAGTGCCGCTTGGAGCTCTCTCATTCCTGGAAGCCGTTGACATGCTTCACAAGATGTCGTAAATCACCAGGCTCTTGTGCTCATTTTGGTTCGGGGACTTCTTTTTTTTTTTTTTTAAAGTAATTTTATTAAATTATAAAAGTTTCCATTTACGCCCCTCTTCCCAACAGGTTCGGGGACTTCTTGAGCAGTTTTGGTTTAGTAGGAGATTGTGCTAAGCCAGCAGTTCTCAACCTGTGGGTCGCGACCCCTTCAGGGGTCACATATCAGCTATCCTGCATCTCCGATATTTACATTATCATGCATAACAGAAGCAAACTTACAGTTATAATTTTATGGTTGCGGGAGTTACTACAGCGTGAGGAACTGTTCCAAAGGGCCTCAGCAGCAGGAAGGTTGAGAACCACTGCTTTAGGTGACGCTGTGGAATTTGGTGTATCCTGGCAACAGGCACAGGTGAGCAGGAGTAGGGAGTTCTGTTGAGCTAACATCGGTGACAGGGTCTGGAGGAAGGTTAGCCAGGGGGATTCTCAGCAAACCACAGGGACCCTAGGCAGATAGGCAGGCAAGCCAGGTCTGGCTGAAATGGAATTTGTCTTGTTCGGCAGACAACAGCGAGTCTTAAGAGAAGACTCCACTTGGGAAAGTGCTCTGACAACCCAGGGACTTCACAGGTAGGGTACCACAGGTGATGGGAACACTCACCCAGGGCGAATGCTTAAGTGAACAGCTTTGAAGGACATCAGGCACATGATGGCACAGACACAAGGAACCTGAGCCTAACCAGTCAATCCACTCATCAGACACACACACACACACACACACACACACACACAATACATTTGAAAATATTTTTTTGAATAGCCACTTTCTCTTCAGAGAGGCCCAGGTGAAGCAGCAAAACGGGACAGTTTGTTAAAGCCTGGCTAATGGTCACAGTGTCACCTGAGTGAGCAACTGAGTGGACCAGTATCCTTGCATTCAACCAGGGAAGGAAAGCCAACGGCACTGGTACCCAGTCACAGGCATTTGAAAGGCTCCTGTGCTCCCAGGCAGGCTGCTGGGAAGTGGCTAGACAGCCAGGGATGCAAGCTTCTGTAATAATCTCTCGTGCCGACGAGCCACCAGGAGGATTTTGGGGGAGGGGAAATGAACTAAACATATACACGTAAAACTTATTGTGCTCAATTGCAAAGCCCAAAACAACAAAAACTTCCCATAGAGACGATGAAAAGTGTAGAAACTGGAGGTTTGGGGTTGAAAGACATCCCAGCGATGCCAGAATACCTTCTCACCAGGACGCTCCTCCGAGGAGTCAGTTAGTCTGGCAATGCGTTTGCAGGCATTCTTGTTTGCCTCAAAGTTAGGAAGCAATGTGTCCCCCCCCCCAGAACAAAGTCCATAAATATTGTATGTAAGTAAAAGAAATGAATTGAGCTCATTCCCAAGACCATTTGTCGTCCACGGTAAAGACAAGAAATCCACTCGGTCCACATTAGCCAGGCAGCGTTTGCCGGAACCCAACGCGAAATGACACCTACTTCACTTTGTCCTACTCACCCTTTAGCTAGTGTTGCTATGCCGACGTCAGTTAACTTCATCCCCACACCTGCGGAGAAAAGACGGATTGGTCAGGGACTCTCCCAGGCTGGATGGGGACAGCTTATTGCCTTTCTGGGTCCGTGTGTCCTCACCTCCCAGGTTCTACCCCCAGAGCCTTGGGAGACTCACAGTCCGTCTGCCCTGTGCCTGGTGTAGGGAGTAATGGTGGAGAGGGCAGACCTGTGACTCAGGCAGCAGTACCCAAGGCAGACCTCCTTCAGACTTATCCTTGCCCCACGATGGAGCAGGGACTCGGTTGCTCTCTGATGAATTTGAGACTAGGCACTTTCCCAATGAGTTTTCTAGCCAGAAATGATGTCTCTTCAACTTAGGTCTGGTCCCCTGTTCCTCACTGAAAGTGGAAACCCTTAAATAGAAGGAAGCGTGGGCATGGACCGCCTTGGTCAATGGCAAAAATAAGCAAGTTCAAGGCAACATACTCACAGGCAAACTCCACATCCACAATTCTCCTTTCCTCTAAGATAGTTTCCTATCATTTGCTGAAGAATTTCCAGATCCTAGGAAACATTCACAGGCTATGGGTGGACGTGTAGCCATTGGCCTGGGGATAGTGGCATTTGGAATCCACGGCCCAGCCATTTAAGACTTTTAATAACTTCATCCACAGAACCATGGTGGTGACTGGAAATACCAAACCCCAGACAATAAAACAGCTACTGAGTTTCCCACTCTGGCTCAGCAAAAAGCCACTGATGTCCTTGCTGGAAACTCAGGCACACATGGCCCTTTGGCTACTGTGCTCCCAGAAGGGCAGCTGGAAAGTAGCTGGGGAGACAGAGGTGCAGGGGAAATGAACAGCCTGCTGTCTTCTAGCATGAGGAAGGCGAGCATCCTACTACAGTAAAGGACTGCCCACTTTCCCTCTGCCCCAGCCTAGGTCAGTATCCTTAACGTCTGTCTCCCAGGCTACCAATTAGGAAGAGCATCAGTGCTCATGCCCGGACTGTAGAGGTCCCTGGGCCTTTCTAGTGTCTTCCTGCTTCTGACTTCCAAGGATGGTGGCTCTGGGGCACTTGCCCTGCCTCCGTATGACCCACCTGTGCAATCCAGTGGTGACCTGTTGGACACCTCTGACATATCTCTGACTCTGGTCCTATATGAGTGGGACTGTAAGCAGTGATATCCCTACCACCAAGCAGGTAACTTGGCCACGGAGCAGGCAGGTAGGTGACAAACCAGTCTGGGGTATGGAAGGAGGTCCCAGCTCTCTCTAAAGCCAAAGCTGGGATGAGATTGGATGACAACCTGGTTCCACGGCTCTGCTCCCAGAGGCCCAGGGAAGGCAAGCAGAAGGCAGAATGTCTGGTTCGTCAGTTTCCACCAAGAACATGGCAAAAATGCTGCTGTGTTGCTAGTCGGATGGGTGAGTCACCCGGTAGCCATAAGCCCAGCTTTTGCACACGTACCTGTGAGCTAAAGGTGGTACTTTGGACATCCCAGTAAACATTGTAAAAGCTGAATCATCTCATTCTTCCAAAGATATTAACAACGGGAACACATGAATGCCTGCTTCATATTGCTTTATTTGTAGAAAGTGCAATGGTTTTTAAAAGATGCCAGATTGCAAAGGCCCCTTTGGACATCTTTTTCCATGGAAGGTCCTGTCTAAACACCGTAACTCTAAGTTCCAGGAAGGGCCAATTTTTTTATAAGACATTTGGTAACAGGTGCTTGAGCTTGGCCAGTGTCCTCCCTTGCCCTCACAGCTGGCAGCTGCCAGTTTTGGTTTAGAAAAGTAGGATGCCAGGGTCAGGGGAGATGGCTCAGTGTGCAAGCCTGAGGTCAGATCCAGGTTCCCAGAATTCACCTAGAAGTGTAGATGTGTGTGTGTGTGTGTGTGTGTGTGTGTGTGTGTGTGGTTTCAGAGTACCTCTGGGGAAGTGGAAGATAGAGATGGAGAATTTTCCAGAATCCTAGCTCACTTGGTTTAATTATTTGCCAGTAATTCAACAAAAGTTTTCAACCATCATTGGTGGGCAGTACTTTCAATTTGATGTGCACATAACCTGTCAGACTGAGGTGTGGCTGATAGTAGCCTATGGGTTGTTTCTAATGGGAGGAAGGGCAGGAGTCTCAGCATCTGGGTTTATGGTCCTCTTGGGGATGGCTCCTTAGAAAGCCTAGTGGTCTCAACAGGTCTCGGGTCTTAAGCCATGGACTCACCCCTGACCCCACAAACCTACAGTCCCATCAAGTTTCTATCAACAAACAAATGCACCCGGGGAAGACAACAGTCACATTCGGTTTTGTTTCTTTTACTTTTAACTGTGCTGTGTACAAAGCCACAACGCTGCCTCCGGATGATGTGTGAGCTGGCGCCACAAGGACGATGGCAATGAAGAGACTTTTCCGAGTGGCAGACAGTAAATAAGCCCTGTTATGAAGCACTGTGCCAACACACTGAAGCGCACACATCATTTGCGGAGAGATGGAATATTCCATCACACTTGTTTACTGGTGCCTGGAAGCAAAACTAGCTGTGTGTGAAGCTCCAGGGGGCTCTTCTTCCGCAGACAGAATACATCTAATGCAAAATTAACTCCGAGGGTGACAGCTTGGGAAGAACAATTTACAGCCAGAATTGCAACAGAGCAAACAGCTGTCTGTTCAGAATGTGCGTGCGTGTGTGTGTGTGTGTGTGTGTGTGCGTGCGTGCGTGCGTGCGTGCGTGTGTGTGTGTGTGTGTGTGTGTGTGTGTGTGTGAAGTTCCCAGGAGGGGACAGACACACAGGAGTCCCACAGACCCTGGAGAAGATATTCACACATCAGAACCTTTTAGCATCCGGGGATACTTGAGAAGCCTGGAAAGTAAATTGACTGCAAATTTGTTAGTTTGACATCTTGGGCAAAACGTGCAATAGCCAGACTCTGAACATGTGGGTTGGGATCTTGGACTCCTCTACGATTATTAGCTGACTGGCACCAGTTAAACCCACTGCTCTTGCTCTCAGCTTTTTCATCTGTAAAATGGGAGCCTAATATATTCTATACAGGATTAGCATGGAGAATAAACAATAAGCACAGAAAAGTGAATGCATGCAACAGCTGGAAAAATCTAGCCACTCTGCTGGATCAGGGCTCACTGTCTAGTTTTGATAATGTGCAACACTTACATGGGTTGTGATCATTTCGCAAAGCTCCACAGAGGGTATGTGGGCATCTGTGTACTTCTCTGTACATTTTTGCAAATTCTGTCTGACTGTTGTCTGTCTCTTTGTGTCTTTGTTTCTCTCTGTCTCTCTGCGCTATGGGATAATGTTCTTGTACATTGTAAAGATCTGTCACACATATTGGTTTAAGAAAATGCTGATTGTTCAGTAACCAGGCAGAAAGTATAGGTGGGGCAACCAGATAGGAGAATTCTGGGAAGAGAAAAGGCAGAAACACAGTCGCAAGTCAGACGCAGAGGAAGCAAGATGAAAAGGCCTTACTGATAAAGGTACCAAGCCACACGGCTAAGCGTAGATAATTATGATGGATTAATTTAAGTTGTAAGAGCTAGTTAATAATAATCCTGAGCTAATTGGCCAAACAGCTCAGTTTAAGTATATATTATACTTAATATAAGCCTTTGTGTGCTTATATTTATATTATATAAACAGCTGCTGGACCAGGCGGGACAAACTTCTGTCTACATCTCTGCCTATCTCTGTGTATCTCTGTTTACCTGTCTCTGTCTGTCTGTCTCTGTGTATGTCTCTGTCTCTCTCTCCCATGATAGATGGTTTTAATGTCAATTTGCTATTAGAATCATCTGAGTGGAGACCCTTCACTGAAGAATTGGCCTAATTGCCTTAACTGTTGTGGAAAGATCTGCCAGGATCATAGGCCACACCTTCTGCTATCAGCTGACGTAAGGGGAGGCAGGAACAGGATCATCTGCCTTTATGCCCATTGGCCTTCCCTCTTGCAGCTAAATTGATTCATCCTGTTGCTGCTACTACGACTGCTTTCCTCCTTGAGAGACGTACCAGTGTTTCTAGGCTTTCTGAGTGGACTGAAGGCCAGCGGCCCTCCAGGAACTGTCCAGGGTTTTGGTAACAGAGAGGGAGTGCATGGGCACTGGGCCCTGTGGACCCAGCAACTGCTGTAGGTTGAATGCTGAGCACCCAGTGCCAAGCATTGAGGAAGCAGCAGGTTCTCAGGTCTCAGGTATGAGTGACTGTAACACAAGTTGATTTAATAAATTCTTTAATACGCACACACATATATGTACATATACATACACGTATACTTACCCTTTTGTTCTGTTCCTCTAGAGAACACTGACTAATATAAGACCTCTAGCCCCGGCTGACTTTGACTGGTTCTCCTGCCCCCACCTCCAAGCACTGGGATTACAGGTATGTGTCACCGTGCCTGGTTTATATTTTTATAAGTTCTTATGAGACTATTATTTCAGAATGAGGAGTTATTAAAAACTATTATTAAAAACATTTTATGACTCAGCAATGCTGTGATAAGCATCTTACCATCTCATTTAATCCTCAGAACACCTGTATATAGAAAATGCTAGAGTTTGGAGGGCGCCATCATTGGCCCAAAGGCTGCCAGCTAGGAAGTGGCAGTGTTGGGAGGGAAACCCTGGAGGCCACCACTACAGTTTCTGACTCTGGTACGAGACAATGCCTTAAAGTCATCAAACGACATGGTTCAGAACTTCTCAACAGTTCTTAGGATCCAGGGACACTTTGGCCTTGCCCCTTTGGGACAATCACCCCTCGGTTTATGGCAAGCAGGTCCACAAAAGCCCCTTTAAGAGACAAGTTCTGCCTACTCCCAATCTCTCTCTCTCTCTCTCTCTCTCTCTCTCTCTCTCTCTCTCTCTCTCTTTCTCTTCCTGCTGAAGCAAGCAGCACTCGGCCTCTCCTCCCTCTATCTCTCTGTCTCTGTCTCTGTCTCTCTGTCACTCCCTCCCCTCCCCTCTCCCCTCCCAATACCCCCTTCCCAAATGCACTCCACACTCAAGCACTCTGCATGGCGTATTCTGTCCCTCACCTGCCATAGGGCCCACCAAGGTCTCTCTTATGCTGTATCGTACAACAGTATTATTATGTGGAAATAAAAAAGGAACAAAGAAATATACAGACAGAAGCTGTGGACAGCTGACCATTGTCCTTTCTGCCTGGTTCCACCTGCGGATACCACTTTGCCTAAAAACTTAGTTTTGCCAATGCGGCAAAAGTGGAATACAGGGGACTCAAGGCCACCACTGTGAGCAACATTCAGCTGGAGCTAAAGGGAGTTGTGGGTGATCATTCCTGCTTCCCCATACCTTGGGCAGGGGATTCTGGGAAGTGTGCTCAATGCGGGCTTCCAGCAGAGCACAGTTGCCCACGGTAGTAACTGGGAGTTTGTCCATGTTCTCCTGACTGCCTGCACTTTCTCTGTCTTCTATTGCCATTTCCTGGGCTTCTTTCTCTATGAGCTATATGCACTCAAGACAGTAGCTCTCTGGTCTTCCCTCCACATCAGAGGGTGGGGACTGAAAATATTTGAAAAAACTGAATATATATTGAGCATGTACAAACCAATGTAACACACTCTCTTAGAGGACACTTACGTTGCATTAGGTGCTAGAAGTCATCTGGAGATGACTCAAAGTATACAGGAGAATATGTAGAGGTGTATAGAAACAATGCCATTTTATACAGGGGACATGAGCATCTAGAGAAGTGTGTATCCACAGAGGTCTTGAAGCCAACTCAAGACATACTTGTCTTCAGTCTGTTGCAGAAAGAACCCTAATTATGACATGTCCATTTCCTATAAGAAGCTGTATCCCTAAAAAAAATTTTATGCACCTGGAAAGCACACTGCAAATTCCACAGGAGAGCCCAAGATCTAAAGGTTATAAGGACACTTTCATTTATTGGGAAATAAATACTGCATCTCAACTCACTCATGGCAGTACATGTGGACCTCCACGTGTGCTGAATTTTGGAGTGTGACAATGAAGCTAGCCTCTACCTTTTATAGTAGAAGGCACTGCTGGTAGTCATTGATATGAATTTTATTACTTCATTTGGCCAATCATCTATTGCCAAGCTTCATTTCCAACTGGATGTGAATAACATCTTAGGGAGAAAATGCTTGTTGGTACCCAGTAGGCCTCTCCTCCTCTTTACTTCCCCTCCCTCCTCCCTCCTCCCCTTAGAAACACCGCAGAGCCCACAGCATCCTCAGAACTGGGTGGTCCAGTCTGCTCACCCTGCATGTCTGTGACCAGGAGACAGCCGCTGGTTTTCTGGTACACCCAGTGCTGGAAGGTGCAGCACTTCTGACCAGCCTCCGAGTCCCTTCGGAGGAAGTTGATTTCCTTCCCATCGCGGATGGAATACTTCACGAATTCTCCAATCAGCTCCTCTTCCACTGTGGCGTAAGGGATGTTGTTCTCGGGCCGATGGATGAGGAAAATAGGGATGATCCTGTCAGGGAGGAGGACATGGTTCTCAGATGGGAACACAAGTGCCTGGGTATTCCTGTCACCTGGAGCAGCAGGGCACACAGACAATCCGGGTTCCACTCCGTGTTTTATTTTATGTTTTTGCATTGCCTTCAATTATATTTAATGAACCAAAAGACTCATTTCTACTTTTGTGTCTAGAATTACTTTGAAACTTCTCTTCGTCATTATTTTTAATGCCATTTTGTTTGGTTTTGTTTGAGACCATTGTTTTACTACGCAGCCCTGGCTGATCTGGAACTTGCTATATTAAATAGGCTGGCCTGGAAACCACGGAGATTGGCTTGCCCCTACCTCCCACATGCTAGGATTAAACACATGAACCACTGCGTTCAGCTTTGACTTTGCCTTAATTTTTTAATTTATTTTATGCGTATGGATGTTTTACCTGCATACATGTACACTACATGTATGTATGGTACCCACAGAGGCCCGAAGAGGGTATCAGATCCCCAGTAAATAAATAATTAAGGCCTCACTAGGTAGCCAGGCTGGCCTCAAACTCATTAGGTAGCCCAGACTTGCCTAGAATTCTAGTTCCTTCTGTCTCAGCCTCCAGAGTGTTCAGATTATAGTCCTGAGCCACAATACCAGGCTTTATCATTTTATCTTAGTAATCCATTGGATTAATAACTACCACCCATCCACCCATCCATCCACCCATCTATCCACCCACCCATGTATACTGCATCCATCCATCCATCCACACATCCACCCACCCACCCACCCACCCATTCGTCCATTCATCCACCCACCCATCCACCCACCAATCCATCCTTCCCTTACCTATTCATACTTCACTCAGTCAGCAAACACTCATTTTCAGTGACTTCCATGTGTTAACACTCTTCCAAACACTCTTTCACAAACACCAATAGAGAAAACAGAGGCCCTGGCTGTTAAGTTTCACACTCGGGGACAAATGGCTGAGGCGCCTGTTTGGCACACCAAAGCAGACCTGGTTCTATGCTAGGACCAGATTCTCCTAGCACCCCTCCTAGACCCTGTTACAGGGTCTGGTTGGCATATTCTGCCCCCTACCTGCCCCCAGGGGCTGGGCTGCCCTTCCCACAGAAGTTCTTCCCTATATAATCCAGACATCTTGGTTACCTGCCTTCTTTTGTTCCTTTGGCCTCCTGGCTGTGGCACCTGGTTCCACTCTCTCCTTTCCCCTCCCTCATCTCCCCGTATGGCCCAGCTGAGGGTCATGTTTCCTCTGGACCCTCCCTGATGTTTCCGTTTCTATCTACAATAAACGTTCTCCTCCACCGTACCCAGCAGCACTCAAGTCCTGTCCTTTTTATTTCTCTTTCCCATTCATCCACCCCCAACCATGAAACTTACATCTAAATGGAGGTAACAGGCAATGGTAAACTTCAGGATGTTAAATATCACGTGGAAGTCTGGTGTGGTACCGGGGAGATTGCACTGGGGCGGGGAAGGGGCTGTCGTTTTTACTCAGACTCAGAAGTCCTTGCTTATTAATAAAGGACATTTGAGTAGACCTGCAGAAAGCTGGGGGTAGCCATGGGGGTGTCTTAGGAGAGAACCTTCCAGGGGGAAGGAGGAGCAAACGAAAGGCTCTTAAGGCATTCTTTGCCAGCTTTATGGCGGCCCTTGTGTCTTGTTAAAGAAGTGTCTAGGAGCCCTCGGATGGGATGGGAGGGGGCATATTTGGAGCTGTGGCCCTGCTGCACATCCCTAAAAAAACAGCTTGGTCACCAAGCCTTTGTCTATCAAAGCTTTGTCACATTTGCAAGACTCCGGGGACCCTCTGAAGACTCCTTCTAGCCAATTATCCACCAAACAAAAGGATTCAAGGTTCGACTGGGTTCTTATTAATTCCTTAGCCTTTGGGGAACAAGAACAAAGTCTGGGCATTACTCACAATCTCAATTAGCTTGGTCTCTGCCCGGCTGGAGTTTTTGCATAGACAATGTGATGTCATTGATATTCATGAATTCGAAAGCAAAAACTGCGGGGAGTATGGAGTGTTTTGTCTTCGAGATCCCAAAAGTTCCCTAAAACAAAAACTGTGTTCGGGACCCATTTCTGGAAGTAAACATGGTGTGTGTGTGTGTGTGTGTGTGTGTGTGTGTGTGTGTGTGTGTGTGTATACGCATGTTTGGGGGAGTAGGTTGACTGTGGTCCAGTGCCTCCAGATCCCAGCAATATGGGCTTAACTGGAAGCTTAGCAGTGTGCAGGGCCAGCTCAGGGCACACACGTATGCATTCCTGATGTAGCAGTCTCCAGTTTAGGTCAGTGAGTACCTGGCCTAGACATCCTTCAGAGACTGCTCACTAGCTTCTGTATGCTATAATCACACATGCAGCCACAAATTCTCCTAGGGAACTGCAGGAGAAACAGTTTTTGATAGAAAAATGTCCTCATCTGTCTTTAGGGCTTCAGTCTGTTTGGTGAATACAGATGACATCAAACAAACTTCCACTCCCTACTTCAGCCCACCCTTCTAAGCCTCTAAACCCATCTTGATATCCATTATGTGTTCTTTTCCTTTAAAAGGGCCCCACGTGGTATAAGAGTTAAGCTGCACAAAACTTGGGTCTGCCCCTGCACTAGGATACTACGGCTTTGCTTCAATGATGGGCACTTAGAAACTGCTTTCGTGGGCTCAATGAGATGGCTCGCTGGGTAAGGCAGTTGCCACCAAGCCTGATGACCTGAGTTCAAACCCCAGGACCCTCACGGTCACAGGAGAGAACCCTTTCCTCCATGTTGTCCTCTGACCTCTGACCTCCACACATTTATTGTAGCATACATGCACACGTGTGAGCACGCACACACACACACATACACATACTTCATAAAAATGTAATAATAAAAATAATAACCACAAAAGCGTTGACTCCTCATCTGGGCCCTCAAGGTAACTAAATGCAGACTGAAAGCTTGGCAGCCCTGCCTTCATTTTGTGTCTGACTCCTTGCGTCGGGGCCAGAGTCCTGCCTGATTTTGCCTACACATGTTCAACACTTAAGGAGTGCCTGCCTACCTAACCTGTCTCATCACCAGGTCAAGGCTGAAGCCACAGAAATCAGCATCCTCCAAACACCTGGATTCCAAAAGCAGCAAAACCTCTCAAGACAGACCGCGCCCTAGATAGGTCAATGTCCTCTAGGACACAGTTACACCCTAGAGCAGCAGCAGGAACCAGGTCACATCCTCAGAGGTGACAGCAGTAACAACCCTGGCTCACCTTGCAGAAGCAAAGATAGAGGATTGTTTAATTATGCATGCACTTGGCCCTCTTCCCTGCTTAGCAATGCATGCTTCTAGTCTCCTGCCACAATTCTTCCTGTCTTTCTTTTTTTGAGACAGGGTTTCTCTGTGTGTAGCCCAGGCAATCCTGGAACTCACTCTATAGACTAGGCTGGCCCCTAACTCACAGAGGCCCACCCTGCCTTTACCTCCCTCCCGAGTGCAGGGTTTAAAGACATGTGCCCCCACAGCCTGGTTCTTCTTGCATTTCAGTCTATAACTCTTGTCAGCATCCCAAGGATGAACTTGGAGTCATGGGTCTCCTTTTTCATCCCTCTTCCCAATTCATGAATTCAATCTCCTTTCTCTGGTTTTCCCCATCACATCCGGGGGCAGGTGTCCAAACCTAGCCTGTTGGAGCTGCCAAAATGTGGGCTTTTGCCCTAAAAATTCTGCTACAGCTTCTAACTTTTCTCCCTTAAGGCAGAACTTAAGAGAACAGAGGCAGGAAAAAGAGGGAACAAGAAAGATACCGGGAAAGTTCCTACATTATGAAACTGAAGTCACCCCAACGCCCGGCTTCGTGTTTAACAGAAAAGCAGTTGTTTCTCTGCATCGCTGTTAATTTTGCTGAAGCTCTGACGAAGCTCCTCGTACTAGCCACGTGTGTCACATGCTTCCTGGCAGAAAGCAGAAGGTACGGAGCATCCTGCTACATCCTACCACCCAAGGGGAAGGGTTTCTGAGGAAGCAGGAGCATGCAAACAAGAACCGTTTTCTTCCTCCCCTTTTGTTTTCACTGATGTGTAAATGGCTGCTCTTCCTGTATCTCCCGTGTCCTGACATGGCCCTTTCTCTTTCCACTGAGCATGCAAATATGACCTTATCACATAAGCAGACAATAAACACAGGCTCCAGACTCTCAGGAATTTGCTGAGCCTCAAAATACTCAGGCAATGAGTGGATAAAGTATATACTTTCTGCCCAGAGGATTATGGGAAGTGGATTCTGCTCTAGTGTCCCTGGTCTTCCCTGTGGTGTAACCATAGCTTAGTAGTTGCGTTGTGGTAGTTTCTTGTTCTCTTGTATTTGTTTACTGTTAAGACAAGGCGGTGAAGGTGAAATCTACGTGTGGGGGTGTGTCCAATTTTCAATTTAACATGGTAGATATCACGGTATCAATTTAATGTGGCAGAATCCACTCTTCTATTCACGCATATATTTATTTAGTGGATAGCAGTGCTGGTGAGGTGGCCGAGCAGGTAAGGCCACTTGCTCTGTAAGCCTGGTGACCTGAGTTCAATCCCTGGAAATCACAGAAAGGTAGAAAGAGATAACCAACTCCACAGAGCTACCCTCTAACCTCCATGTGTGTGCCATGGCACATACGCTCTACTGTATATGCGCACACATGCACAATAATGATATAAACTTTTTAAAAATGTGTGTTTTGTTTTGTGTGTACAGGTGTTTTGCCTCCATGGATCTCTGCATCACAACCATGCAGTGCCTGTGGAAGCCAGAAGAGGGCACCAGATTCTCTGGAACTGGAGCAACAGACGGTCATGAGTCTCCACGATGTTGGGAATTTAATTTGGTCTCTGGAGGAGCACCAGGTGAACTTAAACCCTGAGCCATCTCCCTAGCAGCATAATAATTAAAAAAATTATTTAAGAATATTTATCAAGGGGCAGGAGAAGTGGCTCAGTGGTTCACAGTACTTCCTGTTCTTGCAGAGATCTCTAGCTTTGTTCCCAGTACCCACATGTAGTGCCTCACAAACACCTGTCCCTCCAGCTCCAGGACAATAGATCCCCTTCTCTGAATCCTGCATCTGCGCCCCCATGTGCACATCCCCACGCAAAGACACAAATTAGCACGTAATTTACATTTTAAAAATTAACTTATTTTTATTTGTATGGTATTTTGCCTGCAGGTCTGCCTGGTCAGCCTTTGCCTGCAGTTCTCACAGAGGCCATAAGAGGGCATCAGAACCCCTAGGACTGGAACAGTTACAAGACACCATGGGAACAGTTTGAACCCAGGTCCTCTGGAAGAGCAGCCAGCGTTCTTAACCATTTAGCCACCCTTCCAGCCCCACATAATTACATTTTTTTTAATTTAAAAATATAATCCTTACCAGGAATTCTCTTATACCTCTGGAGACCAAACAAGAACAGGGCAGCAGCCATGTGATCCCCCATGAAGTATAGAGTCAGAGAGACAAAAACAAACAAAACTGACTACCCACAGCAAGTCACAGGTAGTCAGTCACCCAAGCCAGGCTCAGCAGACTTACTCTGGCACCTCTCCGAAACCTTCCAGAGGCTGAGCTTCAGCGGCGTAGATCTTGGCATAGTATCTGGCAGTATTCTGAACGTAGCATTCCTGTATCCCCCAAAGACATTGTAAATACAGTTGGTTAGAAAATTCAGAATATTGCTCAGTAAGACGATTCCTGTTTCTGAGATTGGTCAGATAAACAGATTCCTAGGCCCATCATATCTAGTTGGCGTTATAGAAGCAACTTTTTTCTTTTCAGAGCTAGGGAACCATGACAGGATGTTGTGGATGTTAGGCAAGCATTCTCCCACTAAACTGTACTCCAGAAACAAAAATTACAATGTGGTGCCAGTTATAAAGGTGCTCTGAGACGTGACTTACCCAAGCCACGGTCAGATAATGGCCTCTCTATGTTTCTAGAACCAGCATGGAGGAAGGTTGTCCCTGATCTAAGGGGACTGGCTCTTTGGCATGATGTCAGACAATGGTTGGTAGAGGCGTTCCTGGTTTTCTCCAGGGTCCTCCCCAATTCCTCTTCAGAGGTGTGATTTGAATAGCCAATAGGGAACATTTGATAAGATTGATCCTTAGGAAAGCCACGTGGATTCTGCTTTCTGCCCTGTAAGGCCCGTGTGAGCAGGGTCAGGACTTTCCATGTGTGCTTGAGAGAAAGGGAGGAAGGGAAGGGGGGGAGGGGAAAGGAAGGGAAGAAGAGAAGGGTTGGTTTTGGGGTGAAGGCAACACAAGTAAGTGGGAACTCTGTCTCCTTGGAGCGCAGGGGCTGCCCTTGAGCACACGGCACCACACATTTCCATACCCGACAGCTCTATGGGTGGCCAGTGGTTGATGGTACATGGGAGCTTCGCCCAAGTCCTGTCTACTAATTCCATGGGTAACGATTTAAAGGGGCACATTGGGAAAAATCTAGACCTAACCCTAGCAACTTAGCTACTGCTGGTGTCAAAGCAAATGACAGGGGTCAAGGTGAACCACGGGGGTCAAGGTGAACCACGGGGGTCAAGGTGAACTGCTGGGATCAAGGCCAGCCACTGGGGGGGGCAAGGCTAAGCACAGGGGTCAAGGCACAGGTAGGAATAAGATGGTGTTCTTTGACCCTTCCTTCCCTTTCTCCTCTCATCCCAAAGCTCAGTTTTAGAGAGAGAACATTTAGCTAGACACGTCACTCAATATTTCCTTAGACTTTATAGGCAGACTTTGAACAAACGCAGGAAAGCAAGAAGAATCCTGACCCTTCGGACCATCCTCTTCCCCTTCCCCACCTCCCCCTCACAGTCTAATGCTGGTTTTATCTGTCCTCGGGGATCCCAGCAGCTACTGTCACTTAGAAACCTTCCTTCTATATCGCCCTTTGCCCAAGTGGATTTTTTTTTTTTTTTGCCTTGGGGACCAACATGATCACCGCCCATTGGACCCCAGGTGACAAGAGGAAGTGTCCCTGAGCTGAGCCCAACTCCTTCTGAGAACCGAGAAGCCAATGTTGTCCCCCAAACATTCAGCCTTAATCCTCACCCTGAAGAAGCCAAAAGCCCGTATGGAGATACTCCTCTCATTTTCATCTCATGTTACACTTCATTCCCTCACCCAGAGAGCCACGCTTGTTCACTCACCTGGGCAGCGAGTTTGTAGTTCCTCTGCACAAGTTCATCATTGTTTCTGGTCCCATGGGCAACAGCGTTGTGCACCTTGAGCACGCATGCGTGGCCGGGCTGGAAGACCGGCATGAGGCCCTGCATCACCGTACTACGGAAAGCTTTGCGGTGCACCCCTTCCCCGAAGTGAAGCTGCTCCGTGGAGATCTGGCCACGCATATGGTCCCCGAAGTAGCTGTCATTGAAGACGTCCTCTTTGAAGATGAGCTGGCTGAATTCTATCTCTTCGCATCCTACAACACAGTACAGCTTTCAGTGGGCGGGGTCATCTCCAATCCTAATCCATGACGGAACTACTATCCCTTTATAAGGATAAAGACAACGGGGCGGAGGTGATACAGGTCTTTAATCCCAGCACTCGGGAGGCAGGGGCAGGCAGATCTCTGTGAGTTCGAGGCCAGCCTGATCTACAGAGCGAGTTCCAGGACAGGCTCCAAAGCTACACAGAGAAAGCCTGTCTCAAATATCCCCCCTCAAAAAGCAGATAGAGATAAAGGTGACCTGTAGAACCCAGAGGGACAGGTCATGCTTAATGCCTGACAGAGACAAAGTTAACAGGAGTGAGGAGAGAAATCATTGAAGGAGGAGAACAGGCTGAGGGCTGTGTACAAGGGAAGGTTGGTTGGAACAAAGTTGGGGAGTCCAGGAAAGACTTTTGTATATCTGTAAAACAAAAGCAGAGACATGCAGAGTAACCAAAAGCAAGACTAAACGATGGTGAAACAGAAGAGGAAAAAGCACCATTGAGGAGATCCAGCAGCACTTGTCTCTCAGCCCTTCCTTCCTTCTTCCTTCCTTCCTTCCTCCCCCACTCCTTGACAGTTATGCTCTGTAGCCCAGGCTGATGTGGAATTCACAATTCGTCTGCCTCAGACTCCTAAGTACTCCTGTTAGTCTGTAATATCACAGTGTTGGCTAGACCGTTTCTAAATCGTGATTCTAGGGATTTTGTTGCTATTTTGTTTTGTTGCCTCTTGAGACTGTCTCATATGACCAGGCTGACTTTAAACTCACTATCTAGCTGAGGCAAGACACACACACACACACACACACACACACGCACGCACGCACGCGCACACACAGACGCGCACACACGCACATATGCACACACACACACACGCACACATGCACATGCACACATACACACGTATGCACACACACATATACCAGAGCCAGGGTCACAGATACAACTATCCCACCCAGCAGTCTCCGTCTCTGGCTTTCTGTGTACTATACACTAGAATATCTTGATTTTCTCCAATGCCTTGTTTTCCAGAGGTCTCAGTTATTTTCTTTGCTTTAAATGCCACGCAGCACATCTTCCAGATGCTCACCCAATACAACCACCAATGCTTCTCTCTCCTGAAATTGGTCCAGGGTGCTATGCTGTGGCAGAGGTTGTCTACGCTTGTGCTGACGCAGGGCTGGCTGCAGGGGTGTGTGGAGCTGCTTTGCTGCTGTGCGCAGTTCCTCCCAGCAACCACATCTTGTTAAAGCATGGCTGTGGGGGTGGGTAATTTAGATCACGGGGGTTGGAAGGCCACAGTCAAGCGCCTCCTGACTCTCCCAGCACAATGGGTGCAGGTGGGTGCAGGTTGATAAGGCATTTCCCCAGAGGGATTACCACATGACTGGACTGTGGGAGCCCACGGGTGTGAATTCGTCCCACCTTGACTAAAAGTCAGAGAGCTCAGACCTAGTCTTGCTGCTTCAAGGTTATTATATGTCAGGAGGTTTGACCTAAGGTGTGGTTACTAACAGGATGTTTTGACCTAGGGTGTGGTTACTCGGTGTTTGGGGTATGGAGAAGGTAATTACTTGGTTTGTTCTTTGTATCTTGGTAAAGAAGCCTTTTGACATTCTCCTCATTTCTGGATTAGGGTCTATAAAGCCTATGAGAAATAAACACGAGGCAAATTTCAGTATTTACTAGATGCCTTCCCGACTCTATCAGCTGTCTCTTGTCTCTTTCTTTCTTAATCCTCACTCTTCCCTTCAAGCGCAGACGAATAAGCCAGGCAGGACCCCACAGATGTCGCCCCGATGAGGATACAGACACGACACAGCAAGCTCAGAGTGCACCAGGCTGTGGGAACTCAGTGCGTAGCCTAGGGCCGCATGGATGTCGAGGGGCAGCTATTAGACTACAGAACACCAGATGTGCTGAAAGACAGCACAAAAACAAACACAACTTTACTTTTTCATTAGAATGCAACCAAACAAGGTTATATTCTGCTTAGCTGAAAAGAAAACGGAAGAATCAAAATGTAAGCATAACCAACTAGAAAGCTCCATGCAAGCAAGATTTATGCCTAAAAGAAAAATTCAAGTCCAAACTCCCCTGAACAATTTTCCAAAACTGCAGGACTTTAGTTCAGTCTTTCCCACAAACAATACATTTCTAGGTGTTTACAATCTACTAAGATTATAACTGGGAGAATGGCCCCTCCAGCCCCGTTGAAACAGATCCTGAGTCACCATCACGGGCATCGTAGGTAGCCCTTCCTGGGAGACGGGAGAGTGCACTTGGTTGGGAGAGTACACAGAACAATGTGTGTTTGAGGAGCTGGTTGTGTTTTGGTGGGGAGCCCACTCTCTGCCAGGTCAGCTGGGGTCACTTACCTCTGTATTCCGTGCGGTTGGAAAGCTGTTTGAGAACTAGAAGGAAACAAAGAGACCAGAGTCAGGACGGGTGTCCCTCTGAGTTGGCAGGGGCCTGGGGCTTTGACGAGCAGCCGAGAAGAAGCCGAGGTTTACCTTCCGCTGTGAGGTTAAACTCAGCAGTGACTTTTCCATAACTGTTCTTGAGGCAGCAGTAATAGAGGCCCTGGTCCTTCTGACCAGCTTGGACGATGGCCAAGGAAACACTGGAGTTGTCCCCTGCGCTGGAATAGGGGACATTAACATTCACATACTTCAGTATTCTGGAGTTCTAGTGTTCTCAAAAAGGAAGGAGCGAAGGTCTTCCTGCCCTGTGCTGTCAGCCATTGGGCTGGCTGATAGACCAGATTCCCCCAATCTGCTAATTAAACAACGTTTTTACACATAGAGAAGATCCCTGCATTGCAGTTTAATAGTCTTTTACTTTTCTTTCTTTTTTATTTTATTATTATTATTGTTGTTGTTTCTTGAGATGGGGTTTTTCTGTGTAACAGTCCTAGCTGTTCTAGAACTCACTTTGTAGACCAAGTTAGCCTCAAACGTACAGAGCCTGACTCTGCCTCCCAAGTGCTGGGATTAAAGGTTTTGGTTTAATAGTCTTACTCCAACACACAACAAGAATACACAAACTTTCTGGAGGGCTGACATCAGGAAAGTCAGCAACTCGAGTGCTAAAATCTGGGAGCTGCGGTTAGCACAGCTTCAACTTCATCTGAACTAGGTTGATCACACAGGTAGCCTGCGTATGAGGGAAGTCATTGACTCTAAACATAGATACACTAAAAATCTAAAGAAAGTGGCTCCTAGCTTTACCCGAGGATTCAGAACTGAGGGCTCCTACTTGGTAGCTGATTTTTGTTTTGAGATGGGATCTCACTATGTTGGTCTCAAATTCCAGGGCCCAAGCAAATCAATTCTCCTGCCCCAGTCTTCCTTCAAACATGTTCAGGGCCCTTTTACATAATGTACACTTAGTGACTATGTCTATCCCTCCATCCTCCTGCCCAATATTAATTACTAATTACTGTGACTACAAAAACTGATGGTGTGGTGGATAAAGACGATGGGGACAGTGATGAAGACAATGACAGCAGTGACAGACAATGTATCGTGCTTGCTAAGTGTCAGGCAAATAAAAAATCACCTTCATGCCGTCCTCAGAACTGCTTAAGAGATCCGCAAGCCCTGCTGCCAGTCCTCAGATAATGAGGGAACAGAGACGCTAAGAGGAGGAAGCTTGACCTTAGTCTGGCTCCCCCAGGAACTTCTGATTCCTGCCCTTAACTCGGGGATATTTATGCCAATGGTTAGAGCTGCAGTCTTTATTAAAAAACTGAAAACAATGTGCTCTGCAACAAAACTATACTAAAACACTGCAGTTGGGTTCTCCCACGAGGATGGCAGACAGTGTGACTCCCATTTGGGTTTGCCTCATAGTTTGACCAGTTTTGTCTCAGTTGCTCTCTCAACACAAGGCTGTTTTTTCAGTAGACTTCAGCTCTTTGACTGGTACAGCCCAGAGTAGACCAATGGTTGAAAACAAGGTCACTAAATCCTATCACTTTCTCCCCTGTTCTCACTCCTAGGGATGTATAGCCCTACACAGCAACAGTCATGGGAAGGGATAATAAGATCCCCCTAAAAGGCTGGGGTTAAACTCAAGGAAATTGTCCCATCAGCATCATCAAGCTCAAGAATTCTCTGATTCTTGGTCCAGATGCAGGAAGACCCCATCTGTCTTGTTGCCTTCTCTCATTGCCCCAGTTCCTTGCGGGGGGGAAAAAGGACTGAGAACTCAGAAAGGCCTGGATTCCAATCCTGCGGTGGATCTTGGACATGCTACTTAGTCGCACCCTCAGCTTCCAGTACGTGGAACCAGAAAAAGCAAGGTTGTTTGCTGACTGGAATATGGGGAGCGGTAGACACCTGGCATGTGAGTCTCTAACAAAAGACCTCACCTTGGTCGTGAGTCATGAGGGTAGGGTTCAGTAGTATCAGTGGACTTTCTCCATGGAGGAAAACCACTTTTTAATGTCCCAAAGAGGGCTGTTCCATGTTTAGTCGTGGGGATTCAGTGATGGGGAAGAAAAGCAGTCATTAACTCAGAGGAAATATGGCAATGTCATTGTGGAAAGCAAATGAGAATCTGTGTCTTTTGTCGGAGAGGAGAGCTGAGTCCTATCTGTTACTCTGTAAGGAAGGAATCCCCGTCTTTAGGGCAGACGGGCTACATGAACAGAAGATGCTCAGCTGTGAAGGCGAGTGTCAAAGATGTCCACACCAAGAGTGTGACCAGAAGCACACAGCCAAAGATGAAACTGGCTGAATAGAGCGAAGCCTAACTCGGCCTCCTCAGAGACACTACATCACCCAACCCCATTCCCAAGAAACCAGAGGCAGCTGGCAGCATCCACTCAGCAGTGAAGAGTCCTCGGTTTCCCCTCCCCATGATCATTTGATGGGGATGTACCTTCAGCAGCATCCAGTTCGTTGTTGCCTTGAATCCAGCATAAAAACCTCGCTCAGTTATCAGCTGGACCACTCCCTGTGCACAATGTTTCCTTCAAAATCTCATGACACTCCCAAGCGTCTATTTTTCCCAGAGAGGAGAGTTGGTTCCTAGTAGCCAAAACAGTCTGAATGGCCACAACAGCCTTAGTGATTGCCAACTTGAAAGCTCCCCGAAGCCAAGACACATCACTGCCACACATGCACAGTGCCTGCCACTGCATTTTTCTTACTTATTTATATATTTTTGTGGTATGTCTAGGGTCTACAAGCCCTGCCCACAAGAACACATTTTGACTCCCAACTTCCAAACTGTAGCCTGTAAAGAAACTACCTAAAAGTTGGACAGAGGCCAGAGGTGACTTCATGTCCCTGGTAGGTCACAAGTCACTGCAGGCTTACCACAAGGTGACTTTGCTTGTAGGAGATTGCCCCTGCATTTGCCTTTGCTGTTTACTATTTAAAATAGAACACATCCAGCTCTGTACAGTGGTACAGCCTGTACTGTCAACTATGAAGGAAGTTGAAATAAAAGGACTGTAAGTTCAGGGCCAGCCTTGGCAACTAGTGAGATCCCAGCTCATAAAACAAAAATAAACAATAAAATGATCTTCCCAGACAGTTTTGTGTCATGTATTAACTTGAAGGTTTCTGTGTAGAAGAAAAGATAACTCCCAAGTTTAGTGCCTGTTAAACATAAACTGCCTTTATATTTATTTGAAAATATGTCTTATATATCCTTTTGCCTTATTGGCTATTTACATCTTCATTCCTCAAATGCCCATTTGAACAGTTTTACCATCTTATTTATTCCCTTCTCATTTGGTGAGTTTAAGACCTTTGCTATGTTAAGTTCACCTTTGAGAGAGTTCACTTCTTTGAAATCTATGTCTTGGCAAATGCTATAATTTGGGTATTGAATGTCCCCCACAAAGTGCATATACTAAAGATTTGTCCCCAGGGTGGTGCTAGTGGGTCCTTTAGGAGATAAGGCATCGAAGTTGGTCTTTAAACTAAAAATATAAAATGGAAAAAAGAAAGCATATTCAACAAATGGTGCTGGCATAACTGAATATCAACATGTAGAAGACTGAAAATAGATCCATATCTATCCCCATGCACAAAACTCAAATTCAAACGGATCAAAGACCTCAACATAAAGCCAACCACACTGAACCTTATAGAAAAGAAAGTGGGAAGTACACTTGAATGCATTGGCACAGGCGACCACTTCCTAAATAGAACCCCAGCAGCACAGACACTGAGAGAAACAATTAATAAATGGGACCTCCTAAAACTGAGAAGCTTCTATAAAGCAAAGGACATGGTCAATAAGACAAAACAACAGCCTACGGATTGGGAAAAGATCTTCATCAACCGTACATCAGAGAGAGGACTGGTCTCCAAAATACACAAAGAACTCAAGACACTTGACATCAAAAGAATGAATAATCCAATAAAAAATGAGGTACAGACCTAAACACAGAACTCTCAACAGATGAATATCAAAAGGCTGAAAGACACTTAAGGAAATGCTCAACATCCTTAGCCATCAGATACCAAAAAAAAAAACACAATCAAATCAAATGCAAATCAAAACAACTCTGAGATTCCATCTTACACCTGTCAAAAATACTGATGGCAACTTATGCTGGAGAGGTTGTGGGGTGAGGGGAATTCTCCTCCATTGCTGGTGGGAGTACAAACTTGTACAGTTGCTTTGGAAATCAGTATGGCAATTTCTCATAAAATTAGAAAACAATCTACCTCAAGACCCAGCAATACCATAAGGTATTGGTAATAACAATACCAAATATTGTTGGGTGTATACACAAAAGATGTTCAATCATACCATAAGAACATGTGTTTGATGCTCAACTATGTTCAGAGCAGCATTATTTTTAATAGCCATCACCTAGAAACAACCTAAATGCCCCTCAACCAAAGAATGGATAAAGAAGATGTGATACGTTAATACAATGGAGTACTACACAGCAGTAAAAAATAGTGACATCTTGAAATTTGCAGGCAAACAGATGGATCTAGAAAAAAACATATTGAGTGAGGTAACCCAGACCCAGAAAGACAAATATAATATGTACTCACTCATAAGTGGTTTTTAGACATAAAGCAAAGAAAAACCAGCCTACAGGCCACAACCCCAGATAAACTAGACAACAAAGAGGACCCTAAGGAGACATACATGGATCTATATAGGAAGGTGAACAAGATAAGATCTCCTGAGTCATTGCGGTTATGGGAGAGGGCAGAAGGGGAGAGGCTAGGAAGGGAGAAGAGTGGAGGAAAATATATAGTTCAATAAAAACAATTTAAAAAAACAAGTTGATCTTTATATTTTTGAGGACATGTCCTCAAGGGGGATTGCAGCACTCGAACCTGTACTCTTAGCTATGACGTCAGCATTTCACTCTAACACTGGCCTTGTCCCTCTCACTGGCATCGGGAACACCCATCACAGACCCAGAGTGACAGGTCTGCCAAGTCCTAGACGGAACCTCTACAGTGGTGAGATAGATAAGCTCCATATGAGTAAGTTGTCTCGGCTTATTTCACTAGAATGATGGAGAGTCAGCTGACGCAATAAGGCCCTGAGCTACTTCAGGTAGGGATGGATAAACATCACGTACTGAGCTGGACGCAAGGATGAGAGGAATTAACAAGCTTTCAAAATCATCTGAAATCATGCAAACAATCTGTCTATGGACACAGGAGTTGTGACTTACAAACTTTCTCAAGTAGCAATACAAACACAGATTGGTCTAAGCTATTTTTAAGAAGAAACAAAGCAAATGCTACAAAGACTTTAAAGTCCTTGACTGCTTGCTAGTGACGTGTGCTCCCTAGAGGGAGGTTGGGATTTTGGGACTATTCCGTAGATACAAAAAGGACCTGGAAAGTGCCAACACTTATCTGAGCCTAGAATGAGAAGAGTTAATTAAAAATTGTGGGAAGTGCCGGTTAATTGTTCTTGATTGACAGTTTCAGAAAAGAATTACAATCAATAAAGAGTACGTTAGAAATAAAGCTCTAGGGAGCTGCCAGGATTTAAAAATCAAAGCACTTCTTCACTATTGTAATGGTTTTTAAGCCAAGTACAAGACAGGCAGGGTAGTGGGGAACATTCGAAAAATAGTCTCCAGGCATTCATTCCAAGCAGGAATATTTGGTTGAATATAGGGGTTCGTATTTCCCACCTTTTCAGTCTGTTTCTGTTGAGATCAAAGGGATGGGAATGCCCCCAAGGACTCTGGGAGCTGTCCCGAGGCCTCTCTGGGCCGAAAGAAGCTCTTGGGAGCTGTTGAAGTTACACTGACCTCCATTGATTTGTTTGGAGGACTTGTCAGAGGACACAGGATCACACCGGATTTTTTGAACAGGCACTCCTTCATTCCTGGCACTGATTTAGGGAGCTGAGTGGGCTGGCTTACATAATGTGTTTTGACAATGATGCTCACACTCACCTCCTCCTCTGACTCCTGCAACGACGTAAGGACCTGGGTATAATCTGCTCTTTCTGTCTTAAGGGAAGCCGTTTCTCTTCCTCAAAAGCTTTACTTTTCTGTGACCTTGTGGTTCTCCTCCACCCCTGTCTTCTCCTTAGCTTTATTTGACCTTTGTTAGATTAATGGGGGGTTCTGAATCAGAAAACACCCATAAGTAAGAGTTCCAGAGGAGTTTTGTAACCTTAGGCCTGAAGGGCTTCAAACTAGAATGTTATACTGTATGTATCATGACTAAAAACTGTAACCAGAGAGCCTCCAATTTCCACAACTCAAAGGAGGCAGAGTTGAAGCCAGAGCCAGCCACCATGTTCCCTGTCTGGACAGCTGGACAGTTCCACTCTTCCTCTTGGATAACGGGTTAGCCTTTCTTCACTCTGACAGAAATGTCTGACAGACTATGTAAAATGAGGAAAGACTTCCTTCTGACTCGAGGTTTCAAGCCGTGGCCGGTTGACTCCCTGTTTCTGGGTCTCTATCATGGAAGAAGGGCATGGAGGCTGGAAGCCCTCACTTCACAGCAACCAAGAAACAGACAGACAAGAGCCACAGACAAGACACCTTCAAAGGCACACCCCAGACAACCTGCTTCAACCAGGCCCCACATCCGAGTTTCCACCCTCCTCCCCAGTAATGCCACCAAGTTAGGAAGCCATCAGAGGACTGGCCAGTTCTGTCAGAGCCCTCACATTCTAATTCGTTCTCCAAAGCTCATCACCTGTCAATCAAGCCTTTAGCTCAGGAGCCTTTGGTGGGGGAGAGGCACTTCATAGCCAATGACGTTGGATATGGAATCTCTGCTCCAACTTGCCTCTCCTTTTCCCTTATGGTTTTCTTTGACAACCACACTAAGAAACAGAGCAAAAGTGAGTGGACAGTCGGGGAGGACAAGCGTCCCACCTTCTCTTGACCTGGGCTATTGACTGCGAATCTTTTGTCCAGCAGATGGTAGAATCCTCGTGGATTTCTGCAAACTGGCAGCTCAGTTTCACATTTCCAGAGTGGTCGGGAGCCATCTCCGCCTGGATCTTCTTCAGCAGCACTGGAGCTAGAAGCACATTTGCAGGTTAGTGTAGACGGGAGGCTTTCGCACGTCATCTCAGTTATCTGCAACAACCCTGAGAGACAGGGAGCAGGTCCCTAACTCACAAATGAAGCAACCAGAGAGACCTGGCTGGCTCAGATGCAACCATGGGAAACAAATGAACCATCCTAACAGAAAACACTTCCTTTCCGTTACTTAAATTCCAAAGGTCTATAATGCTCCTAGCAAAACAGAACTTGAGCTATTTCTGATTTTTAATTTAGATTTACTTAACTTTATACGCGCAAGTGTGTTGCCTGCACATGTATCTGTGCACCGTGTGTGTGCTTGGCGTCTGCAGAGGTCAGAAGAGGCCATCAGATTCCCTGGAACTAAAGTTATAGATGGTTGTGAACCTCCCCGTGAATGCTGGGAATTGAACCTGAGTCCTCCACAAAAGCAGCAAGTGCTCTCCAGCCCAAAATGTTTTTTTCTTTAAGAGAAGAAAGGTCTAGCAGTTTATAGCAGCCTAGTCCTTAGGAGTTGGCCCAAATAAGATACTGTTAAATAGTGACCTGATCAAAATCAGAGCTGGTGATTCAGCAGTGGAATGAAGTCTGCACTATCAAGGCAAGTGAGGTTAAGACCCCAGATGTAAAAGACAACTCAATAATAAATTATCTGTGGGATAAAATTCATTCACACGTGCCCATGCACGCACTCAGTGCAGCTGTCTGTGAAGATGGTCTGGTGGACTGGACGCATGTGTCTGGCATCCACCTCACTGGCAAAAGTGATGTCTATCTGAACGGAGCAGAAATAGTGAGGAGATGACTCCCGCAGGTTGGGCTGAGATTTGAATGTGCCTCTTGAGTTTAACCTGAGAGGAGTGTAGGCTCTTATGAGCAAATGTGTAATTGGAAAGGGCAGACACTGGGTGGCGGTATAGGCATTAGAACAACAGGGCAGCTCATCCGGCCTGTCATTGAGGGAGTGTGATCAATTTAACGCTGTCCAGGTGGGGCCGAGCGCTGCAGCGTTGGTAAGACAAAAGAACACATCGTCACAGGATGCTGTCTGGTCCACAGGCCAGCCAGAAGTACCAATTCAAGGCCTCGCTCACTTGGCTGCCTGAAGTTTGCTACAGTGGATGTGCTTTGTTAAGTTGTTTCCAATTTTTCTTTGGCCCCACAGATAATAAAATATCAGAAGGAAATTTAAAATCAGACTCTGGCCCCTGGAAGTGGAAGCAGGCTGGCTGAGTCGTAAATTCCTCAACTAGAGCCTCAAAGAGGTTGCTGCCAATGTTATGGGAGCTGATCACATCATGGCACAGAGAGGAGGGTATAGCATAGGGCCAGAGCTGAACAATGGACTCGGAAACTTAAAGTCAGCCAAGACCATGTTCGTGTGGCAGACAAGTAGAAATGCCACCTCTGAGCAAAGGTGCACCAGGTTTACCTTCTGACCAGCTTGGTTGAGGGAAGACAAAAGAAATCCTCTGCTGCAGAGCCAGCTTGGTGGGGTAAAGGCTTTTGTTGCCAAGCCTGACACCTGAGTTCAATCCCTGAGCCTTTCCACTCCACCAGTGGGAGGCAAGAACTGACTTCTGGAAGCTGTCTTTGCACACACACACACACACACACACTCATGCAAATGCACACACACGTACGTGCACACACACATGCACACAGTCACACATGTGCACACACACCCGCACACACCTAAATGTAATTTTAAAAGAATCTCCTGTTATACAGGAAGCTTCCACCGTGCTAAGCTTTGGATACCAAGGAAAGGACACCCAGCGTCCATTTTATTTCTCTCAGGATCACCTGAGTACATTCACCCGCCTTATACCCCATCATGTCGCAGGGGGAGGGCATTAAATCGGGGCTGCTTTGAAGAAGAGCACCAGGCTGCTGGGTCCATACAGCCAAGGCAGTACCCGGCATCATGTGACCTGCCTAGACTGGAGATGAGGACCCAGGTCTCACAAAGCCAGCCTCCAATACCAGAACTGAAGACTTCTCTATTGTATTTTCCTAGTGGGCACATTAAACAACAGACCAAAACCAGGAAAAGCTGGAAAGCAAAACCAAGACATTTGGAGTGCTCACTGCCGAGGTAGATTTTTTTTTTTCTGGTTTTTCAAGACAAAGTTTCTCTGTGTAACAGCCCTAGCTGTCCTGGAATTAGCTCTTGTAGACCAAGCTGGCCTCCAACTCACAGAGATTCACCTGCCTCTGCCTCCCAAGTGCTAGGATTAAAGGGGTGTGTCATATTGCCCAGCTAACAGTTTTCCTGTAGCTTTGGAGCCTTCCTGGGACTTGCTCTGTAGGTCTGGTTAGCCTTGAACTCACAGAGATCTGCCTGCCTCTGTCTGTTGAGTACGGGGATTAAAGGTGTGTGCCATCACTACCCAGCTCTTGAAGTAAATTCTTCACTGATAGAAGCTCATACATGGTAATTAGAATTAATTGTGAAAAGCAGGTCTTGTCAAGGGCAGAGTTTATGAAGCAACCATCCCATAATAGTAAATCATTTCCCAGGGCATTGATCCTCATCTGTGTATTGCCTCTTCAGACTTCTGCTGCCAGGCAGCATGGGAAGGGATAACACCAAAAGAATGTAGCTTCTTTAGGGCTGTGGGATGGGCATGACTGAACAGTCCCTTAGGCCGAATGGAAGGAGTGATGCCAAAGTCTTTGAGGCTCAGAGGGACTGAAACCTGGGTAGATTCGGGTACTGGAGACAGGAAGTTGGGAAGAAATTTTCCACTTAAATTTGGAAGAAAAACCAAGGTTCCCTTGAGTTACACTTAATGAGGGGGAGCAATTGATGATTAAAAAAGAGAATCTCAAGTTGTGTTGAAATGTTTCTTCGTGCACCCTGCTCAGCGTGTGGTCGTTTTAGTCTTACAGATTTGCTACACCAGTGTCGCTGCTCATCTTTGGAAGGAGATTTCTAAAAGTGATAATTACACCACAAAGCATCGTCGCCACATCCCCCTCCATCAAACGCACCAGCAGGCAGCCACGATGAGGGGTTCTCTGGCGTGCATCTCCTGCCAAGTCACCTGGGGACTGGGTACAAGTGCAGATTTTTGAGGACGCCCCCGCCCAACATCAGAAACTGGTGGTGCTCAGAATCGGGCGTTTGAACAAGGTTGCCAGAGAAATGATGCCTACTTGGTCAAGTTTGAGAACCTTGGGACTCTTGGTCACAGTTGTGACATCCACACCCGCCCGCCGATTGCTCACCTGAACAGACAGGGGCTCAAAGGGACACAGGAGCCTCATGCCTAGCCTTTCAACAATGCTAAAAGCAGCAAGGCCTCACCTTTGCCTTCTGCTTTGCAAGGAGCCTTTTGGGAGTCTTTTTTCTCATCAGTGTGGGACAAGGACTTTTCAAACTTCGGCGTTTTCTTCAGAATGGAGTTCTTTCTCATATTTTCCCTCTCCTCCAGTCTGAGTCTCAGGGCTGCCACCCTGGAGAGAATTTTCTTCTTTACCCCTGCAGCTAAATGTCCACTCCCTGAGGCCTCTTGCTTTTTCTTGTCCTCCTCTGGCCCAGCCGTTGCTGCTCGGGCCCCAGGTGCCTTGCTGGTCTGGGCCACCACGTGCTTCTGCTGTTCCTCTCTGGACTTTTTCCTGCTAGCCAGGGCGGAGCCCTTTTGACACAGGTCCTTAAGTAATAAGCCTGCAGGGGCTTTCTCTGACTCACATTCTCCTGAAATGAAAGCCAAACTCTTTGCTGGGGAGTGGGATGAGGTTAGAGGTTCGGTTTCCACAATCTGAATCTCCTCCAATTTCAGTTCCTCAATGCCATGGCTTACGGACAAGCGTGTGGCACTTCCTTTGGGAGATGAAGTGCATGGTGTGTGTGTGAGATCACTTGAAGAGGGCACAGGTTTCCCACACTCACTCTCCACGGCTCCTTTTTCCTTCCACGTAGGAAGTACATGTTGGTGGTTTCTGGGCACACATTCACCGTAAATGTGGCTTGTGGCATCATTGGTCTCAAACTCAACAGATGCAGGAGTCGCTCCTCTGAGACAACTAGAAAGAGATGGCATGGGGGAAATTAATTCGGCCTTGTCCTTTGTCGCCTGCCCAGCCTCTCCTAGGCCTCGGTCACTGCCATCTTGGCTCATGTTGCATACACTTGGAATTCTTTGTCTTTCTTCACCAGGACATTGGGTTTGACTAAGGGCAGCCTGGGCCTCTGCTTTTGCCTTGTCAGCCTGACTTTGTTTGGCGTCTGCCTCTCTGTCTACGTCATTTTGGCTGATTGTGCTTTCATTTGGAATGATTTCCCCACTGTTCTGGGGATGGGGAAACTGTAGGGTGGCAGGTTGGATGTCTGCCCTCTGACATGTGTATCTGTCAGTGGATTCATTGCCTTCAGCGTTGGAGTCAGAGGGCTCTGGCTTCTCAGACCAGACACACTCCATCCCACGTCTACCACCAATGGGATCCACAGAGGACTCCAGGATGCTAGGAACGTCCACAAACTGTCGAAAGAAGGCAGGGCCGCGTAGCTTCCTCTCATTTCCTTCCTGGTCTTCATTCCTGGTTTCAACACTTTCCAACTCCCCACTTTTGGAAGCCTCTAGTGGAGAGACTGTGACATCTAACGTCTCTTCTTCAACAGGGTCTACGGATGACTCCAAGAGTCTGGGTTGGCCTAGACACTGGGGAGACAGACTGCTGTAATATGCACATCTGGCTGGTGCCTCACCTGCCCAGGCATCCCTGTTGGCAGCAAGGGCTGTGATAGTGTCAGCTTGAGGCCGGGACACCCATGCTGCGGCTCCCAAGGCACCTGGCTCAGGCCTGGTAGCACCTGCTCTTAGGATGTCAGACAGAGCCCAGCCCCTACTAGGGGCTGTGAGACCAACTTCTGCCTCCTTGGACCCAAAATGCATAGCTTGTTCCGGTTGCCAGGTTTCAAAATCAGGAGCTTCCAGCGTTATGATCTTCACTTTGCTGACTGCAGCCCAACTTCCTAGTCCTACGTCTTCTTTTTCTTCAAGGAGGATGTCAGGGAGAGATGGAACATTGCTTGGCGACTGACTATCGTCTTCCATAGTCTTCTCAGCTGCCGCTGAGACACTGGTCCTCGGGTCGGTGCTCTGCCCAGTTTCTTCCCCGGAATCTGCTAGGGAGTGTTCGAAGGGTTCCGCTTTGACCTCCTGTTGCGTGCCAGGTATCGGGGGCAGATTTTCTTGGAAATCATTTGCAGAAAGAGAACACTGATGGGATATGCACTGTTTTCTTTCACTTCCCTTTTCCTGGAAGTCCTCTTCAAGGCTTCCGTCGTGGCCTCCCTCCACTAGCTGGCTCTTATACCCAGGCTGGTTATCAGTCTGAAAGGGAGCGCTCCACAGATCCTGCCCCTCAGGCAGTGAGAAATGACCACAAGCTCCTGGAATACTGGGTGCCACAATAAACATCTCCCTGGTCATCTCACTAGTAGAGCTGCCTAAAGAACAGCCTGGCTGTATGTTGGAAAGAGATTCAAAATTATTTGCCTGTTGTGCTTCAGATGAGGCCTGGTCAGCACCATCATCAAGGTTGCTGTCCTCGAGAGCTGAAACGGTATGACAACTGATGGTGTGGACCCTGGTGGCATCAGCTAATGTGTCCTCGGTCTTCCTGGTCACCTGATGGCAATCAACATTAGCAGCTGATTCTGCTGATGGCTCTCTTGGGCATCCCCCAACTGAACTGTAATCGAGAAGTGTGTCTGTGGCACCTGGAACACCGAGATCAGAGCTTTTACAGCCTCCTTCGCTAACGTCCGCAAAGGAGCTGTTCTTACCCAGGGGCTGTGTCTCACCAAGCCCCCCAAAGTTGTAGAGTTCTGTGGAAGAGAAGATGGAGGGAGAAGTCCCCAGGTCAGATGGCGTTTCCCCCACGGCACCTACGCTGGCCCCCTGTGATGTGTCCCAGGTGAAGGCACCGTTAGAAAGTGGGGACTCGGCTGGCTTTCCATCCTTGCTGCTCTCATATGTAGACTGGGGAGACTCAGAACCTTGTGTCTGAAGAACAGCCAGTGTCTTGTCAGTCGAGCATAAATCACATTCTCTGCTTTGCCCTTCTGCCGGTTCCAAGTCCACAGGGCAAATGTCTTCAGGCAAATATTTATCAGCTGGGGCTCCAACGGGAAGATCCATGGTATCATAACATGTTTCTTGGTCACCAGCTTCAAAACACCCCATCACGCATGCAGCTTCTCTGCCCCTTGCCCCACTGCCCACATTTTCCAAGGTGAGGGAGGGAGCAGAGGACTGAGAGGAACAAGTCTCTGACTCCCGGCAGTGGGCACCGTCACCTGGAGGGAGAGGAAGATGCCATGAGGAGGGACCCTGGGTCACTTCCTCGTCGTTGCCTTCTAGGGTACTCCATTTATGTGCTGGTTCTGCCCCAAGAGCACCAGGCATGTGGCCTTCTGTGCTTTGTCTGGCTTCCCGTTGGGGCTCTTGAGGACAACCTTCCAGGTCCAGGTATTGGGCCAATGATGCATTTTCCTGGTTGATCTCACTCAAGTTGGAGACAAAATTTGTTGTGTTCCCGGCGAATGAAGACCCCTCCCCAGCAGGCAGGGAGAAAGCTGGCGTCTGCTCGAGATCACTTCCCTCCCCAGAGCTTTCCTGGATTTGCAGCTGGAAAAAATGAAAAGTGGTATTAATAGGATGTTCCTGAGAAAGGCCACAGTGGATTTATCTGCAGCCCCAGGGGTGCTAATCCTTGACAACCGTAACAAACGACAAGGACCATAGCAAAAATGACTGAAATCTGAACATTAATCCCCAAAGTCACTCTGGCTATTAGACACTTCCCAGGAAACTGGAAATTTAAACCACTCTCTATTCCAGGGGGACTCATGCCCAGTCTTACCATTAGAAGCAAAAAGCCTCCCGGCAATCATCATGAATTTAATGATTTTCCCCCTCTCCCTGAGGAAGAAAGATGGAAATAAAGGGAATGCCAAACTAGTTTGGAACAAATCACAGCAAGACCTGTGGGCATATCTCTTGAGTGATGACTTTCACGTCACCATTACAAATGATGCCAGCACTGCTCACAAAGCAGCAATGGGCAACTTTTGTCCCCCAAATATTACAGCTTCCCAATTGATACTGTTACTGAAAGGCGGAGAGAAAGAGAGAGTCGGATATGGTGGTAGTCCATGCCAGTTATGTTGGTATTCGTGGGGCCAAGGCAGGAGGCTCACTTGACCTTAGAAGTTCAAGATCAACCTGGGCAACATAGTGAGATTCCCATTCCAAAAGTACATGCATGCATGAGAAGGCGGTGAGAAAAGCCTGTTCTTCTAAATCCCTGAAGTGTAGAATCCTTCCCTTTCCCCAGAACTTCAGAAAATAAAGCTGGAACAGAGTAGAGCCAGGCCTGTCCCTGAAGCCCGCCTCCAGTGGAGTAAGGGAGATTCAATTGGCCACCAGCACTGCCAATCATGTCTGACCCAGAACAGATTGAAAAGTCTGAACTTTTCATTGAAGCTCTGGTGCAAGAAACCACCTTCTCCAGAAGTAGAAGATGATTATGTAAGTTGTTTGGAGAAAGGGAAGGGGAAATAAAGAAGAAGGGGGCTAGGGAGGGGGAGGGGAAGGGAGCAATCCTACAGTCTAAACACTGAGCCCAGCCCAGCACTGTCTGAATAATGTGTGATTCTTGATTTAAGGAGAAAGAAAACTCTTGGCCATGTTCTTGTCCCATGAAACTTTTAGCCTTTGACCTCCTTGGTCAGCCGAGAGGAGCAGAGGTAATTCTTGGGGAGCCCCTCCATCTTCGCCCCAGGGACTCTTGCTTTGTGGAGCCCCACTTCAACGGGTAGAAGACAGAGAGGGCAGTCACTCTCCCAGCCTGCAACAAGGTGGACCTGGAATGTTCATAGCCCACAGGAAGCTCCAATCCAGAGGTTTATCTCTACAGATTCCGTCAGAGCCTAGGTCTTCTACCACATGGTTAATTCCTGCACCTACCGCCAGCGGGAAGTGGGACGAAGCTCACCACACCTTTTCTCCAGCCCCCCCGGGGTGCTCTCTGCCTACCAGTGATTTCTCTCTTGTTTTCTTTTAAGCTTCTCTTGTGTCCAGTGAACTTGGATTTCATTGGCGTGAAAGCAAAACTGCATAAGGAGAAATTTATTATTGAGCTTCGTAAGGACTAAGACTGTTTACTGATCCAACCAATAGACACTGAGTGCCTCCAACGTACTAAGAAGCGGTCCGGGCAAGGGCGTGTCTTTGGAGAGCGCCCATTCTACGTGTGCTCAAGGCACACAGAGTAGAAAGCACACAACAGACATTCAGTGACTGCTTGTTGAAAGAAAGAATAGGTGAATGAAAGATGTACCAAAGGGGGCTACTGTGGCTCAAGGTCACCTGCGAAACCTCTAACTCTGCAAGAGTTTTGCTTTGAACTTAGGGGCAGCCTTACTGTAAAGGAGACTTTTGTCAGGTGGGATGGTAAACACTTGTAATCCCAGAATTCGGTAGACGGAGTCAGGAGGGTCAGGTCTCCAAGGCCATTCTCTGCTATATGAAGAGTTCGAGGCCAGCCTGGGCCACATGCCAGTCTATCTCAGAGAGGGAGAAAGGCAGGCCAAGAGGCTCTAACCATAAACACCGTAAATTCGAATACCGGTGTTTTGAAGAAAAGAGCTCTTCCTGCAGCTGCCAGTTGTGATGGTACACACACACTGGTAGGATATTCGTAAGGATGTATTTACTCTTTCTCTAAATCCTTTTTTAAAAGTCATCAGATTAAGATAGAACATTGAAAATAGCAAAAGTAGTTTGGAGGAAGTGAGGAGCGAGGCCTTGATGGAGTGTGCAAAATTTTCCAAACAGATGAAACACGGTGCCTGTGAGCTAGCCATGGGCAACCTTTGTCCCCCGACCCACTGGGACGGTTTCCTCCCTGGGCCTGAGTATCTACATACGGAGAGTATTCTTTTCATCTGCTCTTTCGGTTCAATTTTTTATAAAGATCTATGGTCAAAACTACCAAGTTATTAAGCACAGAAAGTTTGGCAGCTTCTGGCCAAAAGGAGAACTTTAGAGACCTCCCTGTGAAAACACCACACCTTCCTCTTGGGCCTCTGTTCTGCCTGAACTCCCATGACCCATGTGCCTAGCCACCCATGTCCCTTCCCACACAGATCTCTGCAACTCATGCCCCTTCTCATTCACGTCTCCCTGCTCACCCCTCCTCCATGACCTCCATGGCCTCCACCCATGTTCCCCATACATACATATCCCACACTCATGTGCCACTCTATGTTCCTCCCGTGTCTCCCTCCACCCACAACAGTCCTTTATTTTAAGGTCTTGCTATCATCACAGAGTCTTTAGTACCAATGGACATTCTAGAATAGCTGCTGTGTAAATAATTAGTTGCCCACCGGGCAGTCATGGCACACGCCTTTAATCCCAGCACTCAGGGACGCAGAGGCAGGCAGATCTCTGTGAGTTCAAGGCCAGCCTGGTCTACAAGAGCTAATTCCAGGACAGTTCTCCCAAAACTACAGAGAAACCCTGTCTTGAAAAACAAAAAAACAAACAACCAAACAAAAGAATTAGTTGCCCAACATCACGCAATTTCTTCCAAAGGACTCCATTTCGACCATCTATCCTTACCCCTTCCTGGACGACTGCTACATACAGAGCAATAGGCTTACTCTAAAAGGAAATGAATATCTGGAGCCGACCTTGTGGAACAAGCCTGCAATCCATGTTACGAAAGAGACTGAGACAGAAAGGTCACAAGTTCGACACCAGTGTAGGCTATATAGTGAGGTTCAGTCCTGGGCAACTTCATCCTGCTCAAAACAAAAGGTAAAAGAGAGAGTCTGGGATACAGGGTGGTGAGGGTCGGGGTTCAAGCCCCAGGACCGCATAAACGAGCTGATGCCTGAGAGAACGCGACAAGGACGTCCCAGTTCAGGTGGCTCTGAGTCCCACCTGTGCTGCAGCACACTTGAGGCATACGGTAGCTAGTGCTAAGGCAATGTGCTCCTGCCTTCCCTAGCTGGCTTTGAAATAAAGCCCCACTGGGGATGGGGACAGTTCAGTGGTTTAGCGCACTTCCAGGGGACCCAAGTTCAGCTCCCAGCATCCATGTCAGGTGTAACTCCAGCTCCAGGTAATTAATGGCTCTTCTGACCTCTGCAGGGTCTCACACACATAGGGTACATACACACACACACACACACACACACACACACACACACACACACACACACAC